ATATAAAGTGAGCATGGCTCTGCAGATTTGTAGCTTCTGGTTTTCCAGAACTAGTGAAAGAATTCATTTCTAAGCCACTCAGTTTATGGTCATTTACAGAAACTAACATGGAATAACTGACTCTAGAAAATCACTTGAACTCAGCTTCCATGTCCATGTCCTTCACATACTTGGGGGAATAGGACAATGGCAGAAAAGGCTAAGTTGCCTGAACATTTCAGACAGGTATGTGGTTGTCTGATATCTCCCAGTTGATTCCAAAACATGGCTTCCCCTCCTTTGCAGAAGACAGCTGTAGAGTTAGAGGTTAGGCAATGTTATAAAGGTGGCCAGCTCTGGACTTGCTTGTGTTGGTATTAAAGAACTACAAGAGTTAGGAATAAAAATTAAGGATAAGTACAAAACATACACACTGATGTCATAAAGCAAACTTCCCTTGAGGCCATTTTACCAAACTGAGTTATCATGTCTACTCTTGGAAAATTAAGAGAAGGTCCAGGCAAGAGGAATTAGAACGGTTAAAAAGAAAATGCAGTTTGCAGCACAGCATCTTATAAACCATTCTCTTTTTTCTTTGCCGTAAGACAGTTATTCCAAAATATGGAAGGTTAAAATGCTAAGTAGTAGTCAACCAACACAGAGTTTGAATAAGCAAAGAGAAATTAAAATGGGGTAATAGTTGGTTTTTCTGTATTTTATGAAATCAGCATGGTCTGTGGGTAGAGATGCCCCTTAAATGTTATGTAGTTATGTACTGAAGTATAAATTGCAAGTTGACTTTTATAGCCCACATTGTCCTTAAAAGTTTAGCTCCCAACTTTGCAACCTTGAACTTAACCCTGTGTGTGCTAGGATTCACAACTTTGCAGAGAGCAATGGAAGTTAGGAGACCTGGGTTCTGGACTTGATTCCACCGTAGAGTAATTATGACTCTATAAATCACTTTAACTCTTTGACCTTCCACTTCCTGCTGTCAAATTGATGCCATAGGACTTTTCCAGTTCATGAGGATCTAACATAAGGAGGTTTGCTTGCAATAAAACCCTACTGGAAATTTCCCCTGTTTTATCCACTACATTCTTTCTGGAATGTCATCCATAAATCCATATTCAGTGGGTCAGGGAGCAGACAATCCAGATTCACCATACTTCTTTCTTCTTCAGGAACCTGGGTAGAAGCTTTAAGGATTCTCTTTAGTTCTCCAGGCAGCCTGGATAGCACATCAGTATTCCCATTTTGCACGTAAGACCACCAAGGCTAAGAGTTGGAACAGTTTACCCCAGGCACTCCATCTTAAGGAGAAAAGGACCAGAATTCAAACCCAATCTCTTCTTCCATCAAAATGCAAGCTCCTTCCTTATAGTCATGCTGTTGCAATCATTTCTAAAAAATTAAAACAAATAATCAAAATAAAATTGGAGGGATGGTTTTGGATTCTCAGGCTCTTGCAACACAGATTTAGCAGTGTGTGTCTGTTTCTCTTGGAAATTTTTGATAAAGTACAACCAGTGAAGACATGTAAGTAGAGGACTATTACTAATTGAGAAGATCCCTACATGAGAATATGGATAGAGTGGGTCACTAAAGAAATTCAAAACTACCCAGAAACCAAGAAGAATTTCTGCTTACTAATTTGAATGTTTTCTAAGTTGAGTAGTCAAGGAGACAAATTTCTCTTTAAAAAAGTACTTACTATATGTGACCTTTAATGAAATTCAGTACAGAACTAAGTTTCATGTGTTACTGGACTTTTTATAGAACAAAAGGGCAGTGACTAGCATTGAAACACATACCAGATTTTGTGACTAGGTGCTTCTTAAGCCACCCGCTTTCAGTCAGAGTTCTCTGACTTTCAACCAGTGGGCAATGTTCAGTGTACATTTTAACATATCTTCCACATGAGGAGGACTTTAAAAGTATTTTGAGATTTAAGTTACAGATGCCCTTTCTTATAGAAAGCAACTAACACTGAAGCCCTAGAGTTGTTAGATAAGAAAATATTAGATAATATGGCTCCAAATCACCCTTACTGGTAGTTCTACTAATAAATTCAGTTAAGATCCAAGGGTGACATTTTTTTAAGGCTACTAAAAGAAATGGTTTTTTGGCATCAGTGAGTCTCTTGGCTGTTTCTAAATGTTACCAGAGCTAGGATATTTGTTTTCTCTTTGTCATGGTGTTTACATGCCCTGGCTTAGGCCACAAGTAAAATGCATTTCATGATGTCTTGGTCTCACCCCAAGCCCTAATGGATGTTTGTCTAAATGACAACACCCAGTTTAGCACTGTTAACACTGCAGTTAGGAGGTTGGGGAAGCATGTGCTACATGTGACAGTCCAGGACATAAATGGTAAGATTGGGGATCTTCTGCTAAATGAACACTTCTTCCTCTAGTATCCAGTTCTGGAAGGAACTTTTTGTTCTGTCTTCCATAGTGCCTTAGTTTAAGAGTCAGACCATAAATATTCACTGAGTCAGAAAATCTCAAAACTTGATTATTGCCCCCTGTAAATGTAGTTCTGGACTTTCTCTTGGAAGCCCAGATTTCTCAGCCTTGACAAGGACAAGCTTATGACAGTTGAATAGTGTCATCCAGGATGAGAATGATGGGCTGCTGTCTGGGGTCAATTTCTTTGGCATCATGCACAGCATCCCTTTTGTAGGTTTGATTGTGAGTTTGATTAACATAGCAAGCCACTTTCCAGATATGCCTTCCATGGAGTATTTAGCAAAATGCAGACGCATTTCTATTTTGTTCACCATTGTCCTGAGCACTGTATGTGGATGTGTTGGACTCAGTGGGACCTTTCAGGAAACAGCAGGACGATACTAGGCAGAGCATGACAGGTCTTTAGAGGGACGTGCCTGCTCTAACCCAGGCCCACAAGCAGACTGTGGATTGAAAGGGGGAGCCATGAATTGAGCGTTGACAGCGGGCCACGGCGGTCCGAAGGCTCAGGTGGTTGTCAGCCATAAGTTTAGCTCAGCTCTTTGAGTAATTTGTCACGCCTCGCTCAGCCCCTGCTGGGCCAGCACGTGCCAGCTTAGTGTCAGAGTGCCTGTTCGCCAGACGGCCACTCAGGCCTAACGCCCTGCTGTTCCTCAGACCAGCGGCTTGCTGGGGCCATACACGGAGGGCCGAGCCTTGGCGACAGCCAAGTGCTGTGCAGAATAAGCGTGTTCATAATGAGACGTGAATGGCATTAGTAGGTCCCTCTAGAATTGGGTCTGAGCAGGCGCCTCTTGCTGAGGAAGTTTGGCAGTCTGTTCATTAAGGCAAGTCACCAGGAGTTCAGCCCACAGCCGTGGAGCTAGTTCTGGCTCATGCTGCCCAGGCCTGGGGCTGTTGTGACCATCTATAGGACAGATTATAAATCATCAGAGGGTCTACTTTTGAACTCTTCAAACTCATTTCTTCTTTTTTTATTTTTATTTTAAAGTTGCATAAAACAAGCTTAAAGAGAAATTCTAGTATTGCTTTCCATGAAGAGCATGCCCTATCTCTGGGAAACCCCAAACGGTAACCCCTAGTCTCATATGTCTTTTGAATACTTGAAATAGAATGGACAGAGGAACTGAGATGTTATCTTTTAATTAATTAAAATTTAAATCTAGATAGCCACATGTGATAAATGGCTACCATATCAGACGGCACAGATCTAGATTGTCTCTGGTCACCTCTTGGTGTGAAATCATCCTTGAATATAACAGAGTAGGAAGAGGAAGAATCCGTATTTAGAAATCAATGTGCATACTTTACCAAAAGAAAATAGAAAAGTGCATGCCTATTTTAAAACACAGACTCTACTGGAAGCTAATTGGAAAGGTATAATTATTACCAACTTACATTTTTCAAGAGGCCATCTTGAAAAGGTAGTCTTAAGATAAAGTGAGAAATGCTAAAATTACTTTTTCCTCTCTTGGAGCTACAAATTACAAACTGATGTTGATCCACATTCCCTATTTCCTGAAGAATTAGCACAATTTTCAAAATGACCAAAACACATCTTTTAACTTTTGCATTGATAATAAAGAAGGGGAAAATGAGACATCATGCCGACTTCCCCAAGTGTTAATTCATAAAGTCATACGTGTGGTGCCTTCATCCATTGTCAGATTGTTCTGACGTTATCCTGTTATTGGAAGTGCATGATTCACCTTCCAAGGAAACAGAAGCCACACACAAAAGGGGAAGATTTGCTTTCTGCCCTGTGAAAGACTGCCACACGCAGGGGTCCTATTAAGACAGCTGGAAAGTTGCTTCGGCGTGTTACGCCTATAAGTTTTATTGGTGACTGGTTTTTGATTACACATTTGAATGCTGTGTGTTCCAGACTGCAATTTTAATTAAAAGCCAATAGTCTTTTTTTTTCTCTCAATTGCATTGTGCACTGTTTGCTAAATTCTCCTACATATTAATTCTGATTTTCTAATATTTAGAGTTTATTTTGGTTAGTGGCTCTGATGTCCCTTCAGACTATACCTTCTGGCCTTTTCTCTTCCCAGTAACTTGCATTTTCTTATTTTTTTAAAAATGTGTTCACTCTCATATCGCCAGTTCTTGCTTGAAGTATCTGTTCATTATGTCCGTAATCTCACAAGAATGTTTTATCCACCCAAATAGAAAATGAAGATCCAGGGTTGTCTCACAATGGTCAACAGAAGGAAATGCCATTGCAATCAATGTTTCTTGTTTTTGTTTGCTTAAGTGGATTTTACTGATGCCTTGATGTTATTCTGTAACCATTAGTTTTTGTATTTTTTAGTGGAGCTAGTTTTGAATGTATTTAAAATTTAAGAGAAACTTAAGTGTTAAAATCCATATCTTACTAATTATGATGAATATTTAATTTTCTGACAAAATGCTAAAGAGATTGCAAAATACTGTTCTTTACACACAAACAGCAAAGTTGCATAAGTGTATTTAAAACAAAGTAGACTGTCACAGCTATGCATGCTGTTTTGCAAATGCATTTGTCTCCTTAACCGATTACTTCAGCTATGAAGAGAGAGCGCTGTATCTTGAAGCAATAATTCAGAACCACCGAGAAGTCATGACATTTGAGGATTTCGCAGCTCAAGTCTTTTCTCCCTCTCCCAGCTACTCCCTCAGTGGAACGGGTGAGTGTCTACATTATTCTCCTCTCACACGCTTAAGATGCATTCAAGTAGCAGATGTACACCTGTTTTTCACAGATAAATGCTTGCAAATTTAAGAAGAGCATTCTCCCTCTGAATCAACTAATGAATATCAAAAGGAATGATGACATTCATTTTAATTTGTTTTGTATCCGAGCTGTTCACTCCATTCCTTTTTTCAGCTATCCTGTTAACCCCCGAATCTAGCAAGGTTAATGAACTTTTTCTCAGTAATGTGCTCTGGTTCATTCAGGAGTGTGGGTTTCTTGCTGAGCTGGGAACATGTTGTTTAAAAGCGATGCCCGAATCAGTGCTTACTTATCAAAAAAGAGTTCCTCACAGTCGAAGCCGTTGCTACTAATGCTAAATGGGGATTATGCTGCCGAGATACTAGGGTCAGGGATTAATGCAGGAGACATGGAAGGACAGTGTCCCCAGGCCCATCATTACAGAGTGCGGCAAGCACACTTCTCTCTGGAGTGGTCGGTGTCATGTGGACAAGCCACTGACTGGAGCAGCACCTGGTGTGGAAACCATTTAGAAACTGGCTTACAATCATTTTCATGTATTAGGCCACTGGCAAATTGCAAACATTGCCATAGATTTCCTTATTTCTAGGCACTTAACTCTTTTTACATTTCCAATTTGAAAAAAAAATATTTACACTGCCACTTAACAAGATGATACGATTACTATAAGTTCTTTTTTCAAAGACTAGTATTATTACTTGTAAATTTTTGCATGTAGTTATAGATTAATTGCCTTTCAGACAGTAAATAGGATATTTAGTGATCACATGTTGAAACCCTCAATGCAGGGCTTCCGTCATCTTCCGCGGATTTCAACACAATCCGTGAGAGTGCTTAATAGATTTCTAACCTGTGTCAATTGTCTCTGAACACTGCCTCACTTCTCCTATTCTGACTTAACAAATATCTTACACACAAAGTGAAAAAAATTAAATTCGGTGAAATAAATCACTTACAAATAAAATCAGCCATGCATCATTGTTTAACATCACTGGCTTCAATCCTTGCCTCTCGGAGCTTTGTTGGGAGATAAGAGGGAGAGGCATGCACTTGCACGGGGAGCCAGGAGCAGCAGGCAGAAGGCTTGGGAAGATAAGCAAGCTGGCAGAGGTGCGGGAGCAGCGATTTACATAATCACGCCTCTGCTTCCTGGTGAGGCGTCAAGAAACACTGGGATGGCCTCTATTGATCTTTGTTGAACTGGAATACTAAACAACATGAGAAAAGCTTATAACTTAAAGCTTTGATTAATGTTTCTTACATTAAAAAAGTAGAACAGCTGTGAATTGAATTCTTTTATACACTCTGCCAACATTCTATGACCAAAAAAAAAAAAAATCTGTTTCAATGGAAATGAAGATTTCATACCCAGACTGGCTAGAGGTTTAAAATTTTTTCTGATTTTTTTTTTTTTTTTGCTTAAAGAACATGAAGGATCTGTAGCAAGCTGATTTTTTTAAAGATCTCCTTCAGCTTTTTCCCATCCTCATGAGATATTGGGACTTGATTTTTCAGTGCAGGAAAAAAAAAAAAACTCTTGAAAAAGCATTTCATTTCTAAAAATTAAAGGAAAAATTTAAATAATTGCATTTTTTACATTCCTTGACTGTTATATTCTTTTTTTTTTTTTAAGACAGAGTGAGGGAGAGAGAGAGAGAGAAAATTTTTAATATTTATTTTTTAGTTTTCGGCGGACACAACATCTTTGTTTGTATGTGGTGCTGAGGATCGAACCCGGGCCACATGCATGCCAGGCGAGCGCGCTACCGCTTGAGCCACATCCCCAGCCCAACTGTTATATTCTTAAGGTTGCAGATTAAGATGTTATCAAAACAAATAATGATGGGCTTTATTTTCTATGAATATTTTAGCCTCTATGTAAATTAATTTGATCTTTTCCCAAAATTTCATAATTATTTAAACCAATTCAAATGAGTCAGTGTGTAGGTAACACCTTAAGTGAGACCCTAGGAATAATTTAAGATTTTATGACATCTACTTAGAGAGGATTGTTAATGGGCTTGAAAAGGTCATATTCTTTATAGAGTTACCTACCAGAATAGATTCTAACAGAATGTGAGTATGGGGATTGGAACTTTTACAAAAGGAACTTGAAATCCAATGCCAGATATCAAAAACAGATGCTACTTCTTCATCTTGTCAGATTAACATCAGTATTATGTTTCATAATGTTCATGGTTTAGGGAATTCAGTGTTGAGTGATAAAATCTTTTATACATATATCACATCTGTCCTTCAGTATGATTTTAAGTCTGTGCATAATGTTCTCTTTTAACACTTTGTGTATCTAACCTTAAATGATTAAGAAGAAAGGGAAAATGATTTGAACTGGAATTGTGGGGGTGGTATAATGAGGATGTAACATGTCAGCACCACATACAGTCAGGTTCTCAGAACCCCATCCTCTTCTTATTTACACACCAGCTTTGCTTTTGAGGAATCCTTGTCCCCATCTCTTAGTACTTTTACAGATGAAAATGTTTTTTATTTATTCATAGCATTTGTTTTTGTTTTTTGTTTTCCATGGGATAAGTACAGTCAAACCCAGATGAGCCAGGCAGCTTAAAGTAAGAAACTGAGGTGAAGTCTGCCCTTCCAAGCAACAAGCCAACTGGAGAAATCGACCCTGAGCAGCTTAAGCTCCCACAGTGCACTTAGGACCCAATCAGACCATCTCTGGCCATCATTGTCATCAAAGCAGGCCTTGGGCTTCTGCTCACATGCATATGCACAATCTGAGGAATTAGGCGCTCCTAGGTTTTGTTTTGTTTTGTTTTTTGGTATATGCATAACAAAAAGCTTTATCTTTAAGAGGGAGAGTCACCTGAGTAGTGTATTTATTCCACACTATATTTGTTATACATGGCATGCAGCCCCCACTGCTAAAAGAAAGGCCCCATATCAGCCTTTGAAAAGAATGTGTTGTGCCCAGAGATGCCACTGTTGGGAAATGCCCTGTTCTCACAGCTTCCCTGCCCAGGTGCTATCTACCCAAGGAGCCCTGGGGAGTGGGTGGCCAAAGGAAGTGCTTCTATCCATGATGCCTTGTCAACAGCAGCTAGGGATGGAAGGTTTATACATAAGTGCTTAGCTTTTGTCAAAGGGCTTTAAGAAAAAAATATATATATATTCATTTTCCAAATAAGAAAATGTTGTTTTAAAACTACCTTGCTTCTTTCTGTCAATTACCCATTACACAGTTGGTATTTGAACAACTTTTTACCTAACTTGTGGTTTGCCTTCCCTATTGACCAGTAATAAACCAATGTTACAATATTAACTGTTTTATTACTATAGTTAATACAATATAATTAATAAGATGGTTAATATTTTAACCATTATTTAAATATTTGTTGCAATTAACACGTATATGTTCTATGCATACATGTTTATATGCATGTAACCCACATGCCTATGTGGTAACATGTTTTCAAGCATGTTACCAAGGAAGGGGACCAGCAGAAAGGCCTATAAAGGGTTAACTGAAATGCGCACCCTCGAGTGCTGGGGAGGGACTGATGTAATCACTGCAGCTCACAGCCAAGTGCATCTGTTCACCATGAGGTCATTCTTCTGCATGCTAATGAGTTGGAGAATCTAGTCTAATGTTTGACATTATCAAAAAGGACATAAATAGTGTAAATCTTTAGTTTTTGGAAGCTCCTCCTAAAAATCAAAAGAGAAAAGAAACTTTTGCTTGGACTTGAGATATTTTTTCCTGAACCACTCTAGAGATTGTACCTGAACTTTAAAATCTGGGAGGAATCTGTTGATAATCCCCAAATCACTATTATAGTCATAGCTAGCAATTTTGTAGTCAAGGACTATAGGTATGTCTAATTTTAATGTCTAGTTTTAAGCAGTTCCAAGTACCTTGATCAGAAGTTTATAAAGATGGATTTTTACCAAAGAATGTCCAAAACCAAATTAAATGAGAGTTGTTCCCATTGTACCCCGATTGACTTGCATTTGTTGAAGATGCCAATGCTGGTTATGGTTCCTTTCTACTTCAATATTGCTATAGAGGGCCAGCAGAGGGAGCACAGGTCTTTGTTTATTTGTTAGCCCTCATAAACACAGCATTTGATTTTGCTAAGACATGGTCAGTAATACTTTCTCCTTCGTGATAAGCTGAATTGGAAAGGATCCAGGACTTAGAACAAGTGGGAGGAATTGCTTCACTCTGCTCCATCCAGTTCTGCCACTTTCATGAAGGTCCTATTTGGAGTTTAAAACAGATAAATCACTGTCAGTATTAGGATGCTACTGCTATGCCTACCATAGCCCCAAACTGCAAACTTTCATCTTTCTCACAATGGTATGGAAAGCCCTCTTGGAAGAGATTATTATGTTCATATACCTCATAGAACATAATTTTATAATACTTTTCCACAACAAAATCATTACAGGAAGTTCACAGAAACTTTACTAGAAAACAGCTGGTGCCATTGTGTCTTGCTTGGTAGCCAATAAAATTTACTCACAAAGCTGGAGACAGAGCACTCCTGTCACGCATTGGCTCCAGAGTGAATCTGGGATGGAGATGATGCATGACTAGTTGTGTGACTCACAGGCCTCTGCCCCTAGGGGTAAAGCTATACCATCTTTCTCTTGCTGAGTCCTTCATACCATACCCTGTGGTTACATGTGCAAGGTGTTGCAGGCTTGTCAATCTGAGTGCAGATCCTAATAGGAAGATTTTGTTGACTCTTTCACTGGTAAGTTAATAATCAAAGTAGCTTCCAGGAGCTGGGGTTGTGGTAGAGTGCTTGCTTAGCACCTGTGAGGCACTGGGTTTGATCCTCAGCACCACATAAAAATAAAATAAAAATATTGTATCCACCTAAAACTAAAAAATAAATATTTAAAAATTTAAAAAAGTAGCTTCCAGAAACAGACAAAGTAAATCCTAACCCTAATCCCAAAAAATAT